CAAATAAATAAATAAAATCTTAACGTACCCACATGAGTCAAAGTAGAACACAGATTCAACATGTGTCTCCAGAGCTTATAAAACACCTCACCTTATAACAAATACAGTTCATATAAATGGAACTAGTGATATTCATTTGACAGTTCTGTCAGCTGAAACAAAGGATATCAAGATACAAAAATGAATAAAACTTAGCCCCTTAACCTCAAAGAGTTCACATGAGGGGAAGGGGAGAAATCCAGAAGCACAAAGAGAATCAAAGTCCTTGGAGAACAATAAACTTGCATTTAGTGGTGGTCAGAATTTGCCAGGTAAAAAGGTATCAACTGGCAAAGTGAACAGCACAAAGATATTAACATAGAGGGAGTAGGATTTGACCTGAGTGGCCAGCACAGGGAGAATAAGGAGGAAAGATGCATGGGCATCAAGTGGTAGTAATCAAGGCAGAAAAAGAAGCTTGTAGTTGGATTGCTGAGGGCCATACATGCCAGCACAAGGTATCTGAACTTCATCCAATAAGATGAAGTCACCTCAGAGAGCTGACACATAATGAAGCTAACTGATGTAAACCTGGTAGCAATGTGAAAGAATAAAAGGGAGAGATCATGGATGGGAGGTATGAGGACACTACTGCAATAACTAGGATATTACTGCAATAATTCAAGTGAAATGTGATGGATCAGCAATAAAAACAACTAAACCAGCTGGCACTGTCATCAGCGGGTTAAGCCACTGCCTACAAGGCCAGCATGCCATATCAGAGCTTCAGTTCAAGTCCCAGCTGCTCCACTTCTGATCCAGCTCCCTGCTAATGTGCCTGGGAAAGCAGAAGATGGCCCAAATGCTTGGACCCCTGCCATCCACAGAGGAGACCCAGATGGAATTCCAGGCCCCTGGTTTCAGCCTGGCCCAGCCTTAGCCACAGCAGCCTTTTGGGGAGTGAACCAGAAGATAGAAGGCCTCTCTCTCTGTATCTCTCTCCCTCACTCTCTCTGTCACTCTGCCTTTCAAATATATATATTTATAAGCTGTCATGTATTAAAAAAAAAAAAAAGCTAGCAGCAGGAGCAACAACCTATATCAGCTTAGCTTAGGTGTGTGCCACATCATACATGCACTGTGTTATCTGATCTGCACAACTCTTATAAATAAATAAAATGTTACTGCCCCATTTTTCAAATGAGAAAATTGAAGTTTAGAAAGATTAAATAATTTTTCAAAAGTCAGCACACCTAGGTGGTATAGCCTGGACACAAACCCAGAGCTAATTCCAATGTCCATATTCTTGACCATAAGCTCCTGCACCAAGGTACAAGTGTTAGGCAGAAAAAGAGAGAATGCTATCAAGAAATCTTTAGAAGATACAATCAACAGGACTTCATGACTCCTGAGCACCCACACCCCCCCACACACTCTACAATACACACTTATTTTGTCTTCCTGAACTACTTCTGAAAATCCATTACTTCCTTCATCCAAAGACTTCTAATAAAATGCTTTAGATCATTTAACATGTTTTAAACCTTGAATTCATTTTTAAAAGATTTATTTGAGAGACAGAGTTACAGAGAGAGGGAGAAACACAGAGAGAGAGAGATCTTCCATCTGCTGGTTCACTACCCTTCCCAATGGCTCCAACAGCTGGGACTACGGCAGGCCAAAGTCAAGAGGTTCATCCAGGACGCATTAGCAGAGAGCTGGATCGGAAGTGGAGCAGCCAGGACTTGAACCAGCACCCATATGGGATGCCAGGTCACAGGCAGCAGCTTAACCCGCTGTGCCACAAAGCCAGACCCTAAACCTTGAATTTTTAACTATAATGAATGAAGAGTTTCAGATATCCTACATAGGAATTTTCTTAAATCTAAAAATATTCTTGTAGCTAAAATAAATAAAATGGACTGGGGTTGTGGTGTAGAAGGTAAAGCCGCCACCTGCAGTGCTGACATCCCATATGGGCAGCAGTTCAAGTCTTGGCTGCTTCCACTTCTCTGTATGGCCTGGGAGAGCAGAAGATGGCCCAAGTCCTTGCACCTCTGAACCTGCGTGGGAGACCCAGAAGCTCCTGGCTCCTGGCTTCAGATCCACCAGCTCTGGCCATTGCAGCCATTTGGGGAGTGATCCAGCAGATGGAAGACCTTTCTATCTCTCTATCTCACGCTCTGCCTCTGCCTTTCAAATAAATAAATTTTTTAAAAAATAAAATTAAAAAGAAGAAACAAATACCTGTATGTGAGGGTACTTCAAAAAGTTCATGGGAAATGTATATTAAATTGCCACTTGTCAACCCCAAAATTTATATCAGAGTGCCTCCATGTTTCAGATCCAACTTCCTGCTAATGCATCCTGGGAGGCAGCAGATGACAGCAAATAGGGTCGCTGACATTCCAGGCTCCTGGCTTTGGCCTGGGCTAGGCCTGGCTATCACAGGTATTTAGGGAGCAAACAAGCAGATGGAAGATTCTCTTAACTCTGTCTCTCCCTTTCTCTCTCTCTTACTCTTGCTCTCAAATAAATAATAAATCTTTTTTTTTTTTTTTGACAGGCAGAGTGGACAGTGAGAGAGAGAGAGAGACAGAGAGAAAGGTCTTCCTTTGCCGTTGGTTCACCCTCCAATGTCCACCACGGCCGGCGCGCTGTGGCCGGCGCACCGCGCTGATCCAATGGCAGGAGCCAGGTACTTCTCCTGGTCTCCCATGGGGTGCAGGGCCCAAGCACTTGGGCCATCCTCCACTGCACTCCCGGGCCATAGCAGAGAGCTGGCCTGGAAGAGGGGCAATCGGACAGAATCCGGTGCCCCGACTGGGACTAGAACCCGGTGTGCCAGTGCCGCAAGGCGGAGGATTAGCCTAGTGAGCCGCAGCACCAGCCATAAATCTCTTTAAAAAGACATGGACTTTAAAAATTCTTCCACCAAAATAAAATTATCTTTTAATTCCTTTTTATAACTTTTTAAAGTACCCTTGGATGTGAGAGGGAAAAAAAATGCAAACTAAAAGGATTTCTTTGGGCTATAAACAATTCAGCTATCCAAATATAGATAGATAGATAGATAGATATACTTTTGGGGCCAGCACTGTAGAGCAGTGGGTAACGCCCTGGCCTGAAGTGCCAGCATCCCATATGGGCACCGGTTCTAGTCCCGACTGCTCCACTTCCGATCCAGCTCTCTACTGTGGGCTGGGAAAGCAGTAGAAGATGGCCCAAGTCCTTGGGCCTCCACATCCACGTGGAAGACCCAGAAGAATCTCCTGGCTTGGGATCGGCACAGATCCGGCCATTGCAGCCAACTGGGGAGTGAACCAGCTGATGGAAACCTCTCTCTCTCTGCCTCTCCCCTCTCTGTGTAACTCTGACTTCCAAATCGATTAATAATCTTTTAAAATATATATAAAAAAACAAATATATATATATATACTTTTGTCATAGCAAAATAGTCAATATAGTTCATGAAACCAACATGTGGTACCCCAGAGGGAAAACGGGCAACTGATGAGGTTTACAGACCCAGTTCCAATTCCTTAAGAGTAGTATGACTAAAGGGGACTAAAGATTGCAGGCACTCCATTTTAACATACAAACCATATTCAGTCTTTCATAAAAAGGTACTTGTTGAACTGTTCGCATTTTAAAATTATTAAATAAATGGCATTTCTTTCAATAAAATAAGTCATGCCTCCTTCCATTAAAAAAAAAAAACACTGATTTTTATAATGAAGGCTCCTAGCTAATAAATTTAAACTTGATTATGATGCTCAGATAACTTTAATAAAATAACAAAATAAACACATTTCTCACTAAATTTAACATCCAAAGACAAAATCATATTTGTCATGTTCTAACAAACAGTGCTAGTGTCTGGTTGACTGGCTCCCCTCCAGATAGTAACCATTAACCACAGGTGTCAGTTTAAAAATCTAACTGTATAAAATGGGTAAGGTCAATAAATAATTACTACAATTCGGTGGAGAGGTTATTTAGATAAGAATTTTTACTTTAATGATTGTAACCCGACAGACTTTCAGGGCCCCTGTTTTTTCAGAACAGTATATATACATTAGTCCAGGTTCCCTCACCAAAGGAAAAAAGTGTATTGTGTTAGTTCCAGTTATAATTTCCAGCTGAGTCAAAGTTTTAACAGTGGTAAGGCAGGAAATCCAAAAGGAAATTCCATCACCAGTTCCTGGGGCTTGGTAACTCAAAGGTTCTTTGCAACAGAGATACTCAAGTTCTCAAACTATTTACTACACCCTTACCTCATGTCTTCCAGCAAGTCACATTCTGCTTGATGTTTGGCTTGAAGTTTTGTCATCTGCTCAACTTGAATGTTTTTCAGTTCTTGTGTAACTTTCACCTAAAACATACCATACATTTATGAAGACCTTACTACAACTTTAACCAAAAAAAAATTGCTTAAACAATCAATATTTGTCAAAATATATGCCTCTTGCTCACCTCTCCCCCTGAAGGCTATAAATCTGTTACTGACCATCTAGTTTTATTTACGGAAGATATTTATTCAATGAAAAAACTAACCAAATAACCTGGAAGAGAGGCTGAATGCAAATACTTAAAGAAAATTATAGGTTCAAAAGGTGCTTAATAAACTGCCAGTCAATCCACTTTGAGCATGAGCTCAGTTCTCATCGAGGTCTTCTTAAGAATGTTCAAAGGGCCTGTCATCTAGGAGGTAAAGGCATTAACCATCAGGAGTGGCAAGCAGAGTGCAGATGGCAGGAGGAAGCATAACGCCTAACACCTAATGACTGAAACTGACACAATCATGAAGTAATATGCATGAACCAACTGTATTAATTGTTCCATGATGGCTGCGAGAAAGCATACTGTCTCAGGATGGTGCCCTGCACTTGCGAACAGCGCAGCAAATCACAATCTCTCACAAAGGAGAAAGCAAAAGTGACCTTCCGGCATATGCAGTGCTTTTCAACTAGCCCGGCAAGCAGGGCCCAGCCTCGGCTTGCACTTCAAACTGCCCGAGCTGCAAATGCCAGCTGGCCAGAGCCTCGCCGGACAGGCCGGACCCCTGGGTTCCAGGTTCCGACCGATCGGGAATCCGGGAGCTGGGATACTCCGAAGGGTGGGGGTACGTGTGTCAAAGAAAAAGACTCACTTAACTGGAGAAACCCGGATTAAGAAAGAGAAAGAAAAGAAAGCAGACACGGGTAAGTTAGGCATTTGGCAAATGTTTGCCCACGAGGGGTGGATAGCACAGCCGCCTCCACCCAGTGCCAAGGAGCCAGTATCCATCGGGAGAATTCAAAAGACAAGGACGCAGCCCCGGCCCCTGGGAAAGCTGGGGAAGGGCGCTGTGGGGAAGCTGCTGACAAGCCCGGAGCACCTCGTCACTCCCACCCTGGCCATGCAAGCCCCGATCGCAGCGCACACGCCACGCACGGCCCGGCTCCCCGGCTCCCGCTGTCCTGGGGACCGCACCAACGCTTCGCGCACCCCGAGGCAGGGGGCGCGGCAGGATGGGGGGATGGGGGAAGCAAGATTCATCAATCCGTAATTTGTTTTCCCTTGGGGGGGCCCGGTAGGCGGTGACTATTCCAACTTCTTTTCAGTCGCCCCGTGGGAAAAGCAGGCCAAACCTTAAGGCTAGGCTTGAAACAAATCCCCCGCAAATGTGCAAGCGGGAGGGGCAGGGCTCCAAGAACCTGGTGCAGACTAAACAATCACACACAAGGCTCTGCAAATCTGCAGAGGCCCCCCTGCCTCCCCTCGGTGCAGCCCCAAGAATGCTCTTTGCAGCGGGCAGCACTGCCATGCGCGCGCGCACACACACACACACCAATGCACACCCGAAACTCTTGTGAAACGTCTGAGGGTCTCTAGCGCAGGGGAGGAGACGAGCCCGGGCCGCCCCTCCATCGGAAAGACACCTCACACGCGCGCCCCCAGCTTGGAGCCGGGGGCAACTGGGTGACAAGCCGGGGCGAGGGCGGCCACGGCCCTTTGCGTGAAGGGGGAGGGGTGCAGCAGTCTCCCCAGCCGCGTTCCTCGGACGCATCCCCTCAAAACCCCGAAGCCCCCCCCACCCCGCCCCGCCCCAGCTGCACTCTTCCCTACCTTCCTCGGCGGCGGCTGCATGATGAAGGGACATCAATCCTCCCCCGACGGCGGCGTTAGCAGGGAGGAGGAGGAGGGCCGGAGAGGAGGGGGCGGCCCAGCCTGCGAGGGCGCGCACCGTGTGTGTGTGAGAGAGAAAGCAACGCCTGAGAAAGACTCGCCCCACAGGGAGCAAAGCCGGCGGGCGGCAGCAGGACCCCGGCCGGAACGAGTGTGAAGAGAGGAGGAGGAGCGCCGGGAAGGCCTGCGGCCCGGGCGGCCCGGGGGGTGTGTGAGCGAAGGAGGCGGAGACCGCGAGGGGGCGGGGGCCCGCGAGCAGGGGCGCCCGGGTCTCGCGGCTCGCCCCGGGGCTGCCGAGGAGCAGGCGCGGCGTCCGCGCTCCCCGCCGGCGACTCCGCCGCTCTCGGCGCCCCCACCCCACCCACTCAGGCGGCGCGGCGCGGCCGGGTCGGGGGAAGAGGGGAGGAGGAAGGCGGCGCCGCGCTCCCCGCTAGGGCTCCGCGACTCCGGCCGCGGGAATTTCCGGCCCCGCCGCGCGGCGCAGCGCCCCGCTCCGGCGGCGGAGCGAACCGCTCGGTCCCGAGCCGGGTTCGCGGGGCTGGGCCAGGAGACAGGGAAAGAGCGAGGCGGCGGCGCGGGGCTCGGGATCGCGGCGAGGGACAGGGGGGACTAACGGGCTGGCCGGCGGATGGCAGCGGTAGACGCGCAAGCGGAGCGCGGAACCCTCCCCCCTGTCTTTCCGAGGGTGGCACTTTCCAAACGCCTCCTGCCCTCCCTCCCCCACACTGGGAGCCAGCCGGGGGCTTCCCGCGCGCTTTCCCGCCAGCCCGCCGCGGCGCGCGCCTCCGCTCGGGGGCGCGCGCGTGGGCAGAAGAGTGCCTTGCGCCGACGCACGCGCACAGGCCGCCCCCGCCTCCCGCCGGCTTCTGCTTGGGCAGCGTTTGTGTGTGTATGGGAAGGGTGGGCAGGGATGATCGAAGTGCAGTTTTTGCAACGCGGAGGCGGGGGTGAAGGAGTAGGATTCCTGTGGCAATAGGGGAGTTCCGTTTTTTGCTTCCTCGCAGTGCCTCAATACCCTTCTCTCCCCGCCAGATAGATGTGCACTAAGGCAGGGGTGGGGCTGGGGGAAGCATAGTCAGATCCTTTTGCGACTGGCCTCAGGAGCCGGGACGTTACGGCGTGGGGAGAGGTGGAAAGAGTCGCCCCGCAAAGGGGGAAATGTTCTCTACCACAGAGCTTTCATTTCAGATCACGGACTCGTGATCTCAAAGGGCAGAGGCCCCCTGTCACGGCTGGGGAGCCGCGTCCGCAAAGAGCCGTGGAGACTTTCTGAAGATCACCCAGCAGGGCAGAACCTCAGGGTTATGAAGAAGCAGGTGCGGGACTGTGAGATCAAGTGATAAAGTCAGCAGGGGCCGTGGAGGAAATGGCTGCCTGGGAGTGAGGGCCTCTGGGTGCTATCCACTCTGCCTTGCTAGCTGGTTCTGGCCAAGGGGTGAGGTGAGCGCTGGCTTCCTCTTATGCCCCTGAGAGTACCCTCAAGGCATGATCGCCCCCCCTCCCCCACATCTTCCTGTTCTGTGGAAACCGCCTGTGGGCAGAGGTATCCGCTCACCTAGAGTGCTTAGGAGAGTGGAAATATTTCTTCTCTGTGCCCAGGGAGTTGCTCTGAGCCAGGGGGCTGTGTGGAAGATGAGCTGGATCACTCCACAGTTTGGGTCTTGAGCAAGCGTTCTCAGAAATGCAGCTGGACAAAAGAGGAAGGTGAGTGAGGCCTGGGGAGATCCAAGTTAGCTTGCCTGGTGGTCACGTGCCTGGGAATGGGGAGCGCTGAACTTGAACCAGGTTGTTCACATTGAGTTAGCCTAAATTCTTAGTCCCAGAACTGTGCCTGAGCCAGGTTAGTCCAGAACTCTATAGCAACTAGCAGACCGGTCCTGCTGTTATTGATTCCCCTGAGGCCATTCCAGAGTCAGCCCAGGAAGGCCTGGGGCAAGGAAACAGTTGGGTGGGGGCTCAGAGTCCTGAGGAGCCAGAGGCAGTGAGTTAGTCTGAGTTCCGACAATTCTTTGTGAACCCTTGGGCTAATCAGTTCAGCCTTTGTTTCCTCACTTCAAAATGGGGGTATAATACCCCCCTGTAGGCTCCCATTAAATAGAACTTTTCCTACTGCAGAGCCATAAACATTGTTTGTGCTAAATAAATGCTGATTGATTCATCATTCATCCAAGAAATAATTGTGGGGCTTGATGGAACAAGGGCTGACCTGTGGCAGAGCACGCTCAGTCTCCTCTGGGGATCCACACACCCCAGATGTTGGGGTTGCAGTCCCAGCTACTTCATTTCCAATCCAGCTCCCTTCTAGAAGGAAGCCTCCACACCCTGGGAGGCTCAAGGGCTCAAGCATTTATGTTCCTGCCACCTACATGGGTGTAAGGCCGCCACAAAACACACAAAAAGCCAGAGTTAGAGGAAAGGTTTTTTGTCAGGTGGGGGAAGGTCATGGGAGGGGGGGTAAGAGAAGAGGAGAACATAAGAGAGAGAGAACAAGAGAACACATGTTCAGGAACAGGTCCTGTTAAACCTTTGCCAGCAGTGGGCAGGGAAGCAGGAGTAGCGAGCTGACATCTGTGGTTGGGCCACGTGGTGGGGGGTGTGTGTGGCAGAGCCTAGGATGGTGTTGGGGCACAGATCACACCGCAGATAAGACTGTGCTTTTTACTAACAATGGGAGATCTGGATTGAGTTCTGGGCTCCTGAATTCCTCCTGGCCTAGACCAAGCATTTGGGGAGTGAACCAGCAGATGGATGATTCTCTCTCTCTCTCTCTCTCTCTCTCCCCACCTCCCTTCCTCTTTCCCTATTTCTCTCCCTTTAAATAAAATAAAAATAAACAAATAAAAATTGCTTAGGTTCTGCTTTCTGCTGAGCCTTTGGCCAGGCTCTGGGGATAAGGGATAAGCAACCGAGATTCAGTTTCCAACCAGTCATTTCATGAGTGACACTGGGCTAAATTCGGAAGGGTAACACAGCACCTGCCCACATGCAGTGTCCTGCACATGGAAGGTGCTTAGCAGAGATTTGCTGAATCCTAGTCCTGGATACAACTACCCTGAAGCAGAGGTTCTCGTGCCTTCACCCCCGCCCTGGGGAAGTCAGCCCTGGAGGATAAAGTGCTGATTGTGGGCAGACCTGGGGTCCAGCCTCTCCCACTGATACGCTGGACCTTTTCCGGGCCTAGGTACCATCTGCGAAGTAAGGTGAGTGAATGAGCCTTACTTGTTAAGCTAACTTGTTAGGGTCCACCCAGAAAAAGTGAAACCCTGGGGCTTAATTTTATAAATTCAGAAGGGCATCCTCCACCTGATTTGCTGTCATTCTGAAGTCAGGGGTGGCACTGACTCTGGAATGATTCCCAGGTGGTAGAAAGAGGTAAGGGCACAGAAGATGGCCCAAGTGCTTGGGCCCCTGCACCCATGTGGAAGACCCAGAAGAAGCTCCTGGCTCCTGGCTTTGGAATGGCCCAGCTCCAGCCATTTGGAGAGTGACCCAATGGATGGAGGATCTCTCTGTCTCTCCTCTTGTAGAGATGAAATCAAAATGGAGTAAGTGTGGCTAAAAGCTAACTGCATGATTTCCCGCTTCTGTAAAGATCAGTCTTGCTTGCTTGCTTGCTTATGAGCTACCTTGTAAAACTGTGTGGAGCCAGTTCCAGGGACTGAAGTTTGGGGCCAATTCCAAGAACCGAGAAAAGGCCCAGCCCAGTTTTCTGCCTAAGATTAGAAAAATGTGCCTCACCTCGTTCACTTTACAACTACATCCTGGGCCTGGTAACTACATGACACAAAGTTTCAAAATTGTGAGCCCTAGTGGACAGAATTCTATAAAACACTGTGTAACTTGCTGTTGGGGGCCGTACTCTGGTAAGGGCTGTTGGTCCCGATCAGTTGCTTTGCCTCTCAAATAAAATCTTAGCATGTGACTGCGGCTAGGCTCTGTAACATTCTGTTTCAATGAATGAGTGGATGCAACATTCTCTGTATGTAACTGTCTTTCAAATAAATAAATAAATCTTAAAAAAAAAAAAAAAGCTAAAGACAGCACCAGATGGGCTTACCTATTTACTGCTTTGTCAAAAAAGAAACATAATTTTTTAAAATTTATGTTAATATTTCCTAGTGCCTCTTTCCAACCGTAAGCTTTCCCATTACTTTTCTGAGCTAATCCTCATTAGAAGCCTACAGAATAGTATTATTTTCTTGAATTCTACACTTAAGGAATTGAAGGCTCACTGAGGAGATGTGACTTACCCTAAAGTGATGGATTTGGGGCCAGAACTCAGTTTTCCTGAGGATTGTTTCTCTGTGAAGAATATTCAGAGGACTTGAGGGCTCACTCAGGAACAAAGCAGACTCAGAAAGATACAATCTGTATGTTCCAAACTTCACAGGGCAGGAGAGGGATGTCTGTGACTTACGTAAGCCTGGCTTAAAATATACCGCTTTGAACAAGGGTGGGGACTCCAGGCCTTGCTCCTGCCATGCGGACAAGCACTGTGTTACCAGAAAGATCTCTGGAGATTCTTGGGGAGACATTTTGCAGAGCAGCATGCACTGTGGCCCCAGAGACAGAACTGGAACAGGCTGCAGCTGGGTCTCAGGAAGGAACTTTCCAGGCAGAGCTGCCCCTGGAGGGAGCAGGGGAGAGAGTGAGCTCCCCACCCCTGGAGCTGTGCAAGCAGGTTCTGGCTCTCTGCCATCAAAGAGGCCACAGGTGGGACTCCTACTGTGAAAAGAAATTAATAATAGCTACCATTTTTTTTTATTTTTATTTTTTTGACAGGCAGAGTGGACAGTGAGAGAGAGAGAGACAGAGAGAAAGGTCTTCCTTTGCCGTTGGTTCACCCTCCAATGGCCGCCGCAGCTGGCGCGCTGCGGCCGGCGCACCACGCTGATCCGATGGCAGGAGCCAGGTGCTTATCCTGGTCTCCCATGGGGTGCAGGGCCCAAGTACTTGGGCCATCCTCCACTGCACTCCCGGGCCACAGCAGAGAGCTGGCCTGGAAGAGGGGCAACCAGGACAGAATCCGGCGCCCCGACCACGACTAGAACCCGGTGTGCCAGCGCCGCAAGGCGGAGGATTAGCCTAGTGAGCCGCGGCGCCAGCCCAGCTACCATTTATTTTGCCTCTTCCATGTTCCAAGCATTGAACTAGGCATGTCATTTATATCGTTTCCAACCTTCATGATAGGTGTTCAGTCCATTTCACAGATTTCACAGCCCAAGACTCAAAAGTGAACACAGCTACACAAGGTCACACAACTGGTTCAGGAGAGCCAGGCCTGGCTCCCTCGGACTCTGAAGCTGTGCTCTCCCACCAGCCAGCATGC